CTTATAATAGAAAAAAACTAAATTTATAAAATGAAAGAGTTTTAGTAACGAAGAGGGGGGCTTCAAAGAATTTATACTCTCTAATTTCACATATATTTTACTTATACACTGTAGTGATGTATGTAATACGGAAAATTTCTCTTAACTACTGATAAGGTTCACCCAAAATTACAAAATATAATATATTGGTTTCCTTCTCGGAAAAAAGTTTAATAGGGCACATTACGTTTCTTACGTTTAGTTGGTTTTTACCGTATATCTTACCTCACTATTGCTTTAATAATCGTAAATTGTTTAATTCACTATTGAGTTGAATTGTTTAGGCCGAAATTGGGGTGAATAATATATATACATATATGTATATATATATATATATAGTATTGCCGAAAAAAAAAAACGATGATTTTTATAATATTTATCGCCACTTTTTTTTTGTTTTTAGTATATTGTTAATTGAAGGTATTTAGTATAAATATAGGATTTTGACACACATTGTATGCACAAATTATACAAACGTGTATATATGTATATAAATTTTTAATATATAAAAACATTTTATAAAATTACATTCTTTTGAATTTAATTTTAACGTTTTAAATATTATTAGATTTTTAGACCTCCCTTATTAGATTTTTCTGTTCCGTTTTTATGGTTACATAATAAAAATGATGTGGTAAAGTTAAAAACAAGAAAATAAACAAAACCGAAAAAACAATGAAAAGAGAAACCAAAAACTTTTCCTTGTCAAAGTATTTTAAATTGCTTATAAACACATAAATACATATATGTGTTTACAATGCATACATATATACATACTATAAAAGGATATATATAGTTAGTTATATGCGGTGGTAATAAAAGTAGCAATATGTGGTCGTGAATTGAAAAAATTTTTGTGGGTGTTTCTTATACACACATAATAATGTAATTGTTTATATATATATATATATATATATATATATATGAATATTGTACATATATATCTATATATTTTATCATGAACTTTTATAAAATTGTGGTTTTAAAATTATTTTGGTATACAAATATAATAAAATCGGAAGATTTTATTGTTATACTTATGTGAATATTTCATGTATTATGTAACGGTATTTTTATATATATATATATATACATTTATTGCATATTATGTGCACATGTGCACATATATATATATTAATAATATTCTTAAATTTACATTGTATAAAATTTGAATAGTTTGTTTTTTTGTTTTTCTGAAATTTTCACAAAGAGTATACTTCATTAATTTTAAATATACATGAGTAACATATATATGTAGGCAAATTTAACATATATATACATATACAATAATAATATTTAAAATAATATAAATCTTAGTTTCTGTTTTTCTTGTTTCATTTAAGGACCTTTCTTGTTTTAATAACTGTTTTGTTAGTACATTATAATAATATACTTTGAGTTATATAATAATAATAATAATGAAATTAACCCCATTTTTGTTAAATTTTTAAAAAATTAAAATTTAAAGTATTTCTAATTCAATTTATAATGGCTATAATATATACTAATATATGTTTAAATATGTATACATATACATAATAATTGTAGCATATAAAATTGAATGGGGGTGGTCAATGAATTGAATTAATAGATTATTATACAGTCAAAAAGTCTTATACATTTTTTAATATCTCACATCAGGTATTTTATATAATAGTGTGATATATGTGTGATTTAAAGTAACTATAAAGTTACACATAAATATTAAAATCCATTTCAATACCAGTATATATTCTACATATAATTTCGAAATATCACTTTTACATAGTGTATAAATAAAAAAAAACCGGGCTTTCTGTGCAAAAATGATTATGTGTCATATGTATGTAAAGGGTATATGATGTATATTTTAATAATTTTGGAGTTATTTCGAATATTAAATTAATTTTAGTTTAAAACTTCTTATATTAATGGCACTTCAATATCATTTAAATAGGTTACAATTTTAATTAATTAAAAATTTTCTCTAATATCAATTTCAATTTGAATATGACATTGAAACTATTGATTGATAATGTTTATTATTTAATAAGCAAATAACTTTATAATTTAATTTTTTTTCATATTGCCGCCGCTTGAAATTTTATCATTATTTAATTCATTTATTCTTTTGAGTATAAATTATTTTCTTTGTAAGGAATATTTCGCAAACACTCATATTGACCATTCTTATTATATTGAGCAAGTTGATGATATATTCTGATAAAATTTTCTTTTAAAATGAATATCTGAGTGGAGAACAAAAAATATAGAGTTTCACATAATTATAACATTGTGGAATGATTCTGATATATTCGAATACATACTAAAAATGAGCTGTACTGTAACTGAGAATTTTAAGTGTGATGAAATATTTTAATTCTTTGAATTGTAGAAGACTTTACTTTTATGGTACAGTAGAACTTTTGAAGACTCAATAAGTTTGAATGAGTGACGTGAGTTTTTCTTTTCTAGATCTAATTTTATGTACTTCGGGCTATGTTAGTTTATTAAACTCGTCAAAATCTTACATTATTGAAATAATTGATTTTTAAAATATTTATGCATATGAAACCATGCGATTATTGTGAGATTTAAAAAAAAATTTTTTTTTTTTTAGAAATTTGAATGTTCCCACGAGAAATTCAAAGAAAATTATAAAATAAGGCCACACACACAAAAAAAAAAAAAACGCTGTATATGCGAAAGGGTAAAGTTTCTCCATTTTTTTTTTGGTATGAAATCTCAGGAAATTTCTTTTTTTCTTTACTTATTCCAAATATTATCAAGGTAATACAGGGATATTCATAAGAAATGTCTTAGAATTCAAAGAAAAAAAGGAAAGAAAATACACTAAGCAGACGTCAACAAAAAAAATAAAAATTTAAAATGTAATAGGAGCATAAAAACAAAAAAAAAAACGAAATTCGGATCCAAAACCAATGGTTTGTGAAATAATACCTTTTCCCCCCAGGATGATGGAAATAATTTTTCAGAAATCGTCTATTTAGATTATTTCACATTACATATATAAAATTATTTTATGTAATAAAAAAAAATATTGCATACTTTTAGGATGAAGGGACAAAATTAAGAAGGAACGATCATATTTATAATGGTCGGATTCCGGATTCGGCTGTAAATTTGATGTCTTATATAATTATAAGTTTTTGATTGCAAGATAGTCACACGTTAGCTTTTTGTTTTGATGAGAATTACCTCAAAAGCAAGCAGTTTCGGAAATATAGATGTAAGGCGATTAAATTGAAATTTTAAAAGGGAGAAGCTATGTTTTTTTTAGAGGAGGAACAGAAATATGCTCTTAAAATTCCTCTATAAAAATAAATAAATAATTTTTGTAAAGGTAAATTTACATTTATGTTTACAAAATTTCACCTTTTTATCTCAAAAGTGTTAAAAAAATTAATTTTTAAAATAGACGGCTCGCGGACGGGTGGAAGGACAAAGTTAAACTAATAAGCACAATCAAATTTTGTTGGAAAAGTTCCAAAAAAAAAAGAATACGATATTGCTCTCCCTTTTTTTTTGGGACACATTTTTTTTTCCAAAATTTTTTTCTTGTTTTTTGTCATCATAAAGTGCCGATAAAGAAACGAAACAAGAGAACGTACAGTTTAAAAGCAAAAACAGTTATTAAAAAGAAAAACTTTGTTTTTATTTTTTCTTATTTTCCAATAATTTGATACGTTGTAACACCTGTAGGAAAAAAAATATTAATTTTTTATTTTTTATGCACCTTTTCAAAAAAAAAAACTTTAGAGTTTGTTTTTTTCTTTATAATATGAAAAAAAATATGAAAACATTTTTTTCATATTTTATGCAAATTTTTCTACATATGTACTTATATAAATAGGTAACATATACCTATGCGAATATGTCGCACCCCGAAAACAATACCGCAACATTTTTCCATATAAACAGATATTGAACGTTATTTTTCTCTAAACAATGTTGGAGTTGAACTGAAAACGTAGCTGAACATAAAGAAAAATCAGATGATTAACACTGCAGCAGCTTTATGTATTAAGGGTATATTTGTAAATTCCATACTTTCCGGCAGTTGAAAGTGATCTATAAACTAAGTATTTTAGACAACCAAAATAAAGTGAATAAATTTGCAGTTTTAACGAACAATGAGCAATTGAATATTTTTAATTTTTTGAATTATTGTAGCAAGGGTGCAATATTTATGTATATACATAGATATATATGAAATACAAATATGTGCATGTGGTGCCGTCGCTAATTTTTGTTCTTATATCAAGGATCGTTACTTTTTTTTTTTTTGTAATGTCGTCGCCATAATATTTTTATTTTGTCGTTTAAAATATTAGTGACGTTCATTTTTTTTTTCGTGTTATGGTTTCTCTTTAGAACCAACTTTTTCTTAAGAATTTTTTGTATTTTTTTCTTTTTGATTTCGTTATATAAACTTTAAACCCTACAATTTTATTTTAAAAAAATGATAAATTATATGTCCGAATATTTTCTGTTTTTAGTTACCAAAAGTGACTTTATTTTGGTAATGATTTGTAAAATAGCACAAATTTCCCTTTCTATATTTTCGGATGTAGAATTTGGATATAGAGAGAGAGAGAGCAGGGAAGCTAATCTTTTGTGTTTGAGTATTTTTCATAATTTTCTGAAATTGTGTTTCGCAATTTGTTATATAGACATACGAGTAGATATAACAGAATTACTTGTCTAAATCTTAGTTATGTAAACTTCGGAGTTACAGTGATACTTATCGAGTGTTCAATTCAGCTTATATGTGCTAATTACTAAATTGTTAATAGTAAAATATAGTATTACTCAATTCCGATGTCATAACAATTAATGACGATAATTATTTATTGAACGTTTTTTATTTTTTGTTTTAAATAAACTCGTGAAAGAATTATTCTTCTATTTGAATATTTTTGTTTTTTTTTTTTTCTTTTTCCATATTTTTTTGCTTATAGGACATAGTGGTGTTAATCAATTAGGTGGTGTATTTGTTGGTGGACGGCCATTACCAGATTCAACTAGACAAAAAATCGTAGAATTAGCACATTCTGGTGCGAGACCCTGTGATATATCACGTATCTTGCAAGTATCAAATGGATGTGTTAGTAAAATATTGGGAAGGTATGATAAAAATTTTTAGATTATATTTATTAAATATATTATTTTTAATTATATAGTTATAGTTTTGTTTTTTAAACAAGTAATGCAAATATTATAATAATATTGTGGTAACATACAATTCAGCAATAATAATTCATAAGCTGAATTGTTAAATAATGCCGGGTTAACGGTTTTTTTTTATAAATAAAGAAAAAAAAACAAAAAAAACATACAATTCGGCAATAATAATTCATAAGCTGAATTGTTAAATAATGCCGATATAACGATTTTTTTCATAAATGAAGAAATGAAAAAATAATTAACAAACATGTAATTCAGCAATAATAATTCATCGGCTGAATTTTCAAATATTTCAAATATTTTTCAAAATTTGTGGGCTTTTATGTTTTTTGCAGTAGAATTCAAATTGTTGAATAAAATAAAAATAAAAATATATGTTATAGATATATTCATTTTAGAGTTTTGAAATTATAAATATACAATATTGAAATTGTATCGAATATGTTATTAATAATTTAAAATAAACTCATAATATTTTTTCTTTATATATATTCAATTATATAGATATTATGAAACAGGTAGTATAAGACCACGTGCAATTGGTGGATCAAAACCACGTGTTGCTACAGCTGAAGTTGTTAGTAAAATATCACAATATAAACGTGAATGCCCAAGTATATTTGCATGGGAAATACGTGATCGATTATTACAGGATGGCGTATGCACAAATGATAATATACCAAGTGTAAGTTTATATATTTTTTTCAATTTGTTTTAGTTTTTGGTATATAATTAATATTAACAAAAATGTGCTTATACGAAATATTTATATATTTCTTTTTTATATGTTAATTCAGTCATATTTGTTTGTCATAAAACAAATTTTAAAATTTAAAAAAATAAAAACTGAATTTCAAAATTGTAGTAATACATAGTATTTTTAATACACAATTCAGCTTATGAATTTTTATTGCTGAATTGTGTTTTAATATATCATTAATATTAATGCAATTTTAAAGCTAAACATTTTGTTATATTAAGACTATATTAATTCAAAAACTTTCAAATCATTTATATTTTACGGAATTTTTCTTTAAATTGTAAGAATAGTGACAGCAAATACTTTAATTTTATATGTAACATATATTTTATAGAGAAAGGGAAACAAAATAAAAAAATTCAATAATCACTAATCAATTCCTGAATTTTGTTTAAGAAATTTGATAGAGAGAGAGAGAGAGGTAGACCCAAAATGTGAATAAAATAAAGTTTCCCTTTTATTTATTTTCATAATATACCGTTATTAATATGTATAAATGAATGATTTTTTTTTCATTGTTGTATTCAATAGTTTTTCTTTTATATTTGACATTTTGTTTTTGTTTTTTTTTTGTCACTTTATTATTTTTATTTTTTGAATAATTTGCAATAATATATGGAAATCATGTTCAGTATATTTTATATATATATATACATATATGCATATCTATATGAATATTATTATATATACATATACATATGTATGTTTTTTATGAATAATGTATGTAATACATAATAATATACGATTATATAAGAAAGGGTATGTGAGTTAAATCTTAAGTCTGTTTATCTCTTTGAAAATTTTTAATATATAAATGATTTAAAAAAAATTTGCAGTAGACACACTTTAAGAGAACGAACTGTAAATTAAATTTTAACTTATTCAATTTAAGTGAATAAACAACAATTCCGGATTTAATTTTCGTTTACATATACAGTGACAGAGCGCTTTTTCGCCACTTCTTCAATATTCCTGTATATGAGTTCTAACATACTATGAGCAAAAAGAATTTGGAGAAAACTTAAAATGTCAAATTTCCTTAGATCTTTACTACCAAAAAACTTTATTAAATACACTTACTCAAGTGTCCATAGTTTATCTATACCTACATGAATTCCTTATATGGTATTGTTAATTGGGAGGGGGGAAAGAAAATAAAAAACAGAAGACATCAGACTTTGATCGTATTTTCCCAATAAAAAAAAGAAAAAACCGAAAGATGGCAACTCTTATAAGAAAACAAGAAAAGGGAAAATGTAAGAAGGGGGACAAAAAATGTCCTATTATTTATTTTTAATAATTTCTTTTCTCTTTTTTTTTTGAACAAAATGAATAACTTAAAGTCAAAATAATTTATTTTTCTCTTTTATAATATTTCATTGTTGTTGTTGTTTTTTTGTTTGAAAATAATTTTGTTTCGAATACAAAGAAATTTCAAAAGTCTCCATATAATTTAAGGATGAGGATTTTTTTAAGAAGTTCTATTGTCCTTGCAAAAATTTGTTTTTTTTTTGAAGACATAATAGAAGTGAAAATCTAAAAAGTTTTCGATCAAAAAAAGTTAAAGCTAATTTTTAAAATAAAAGTGAATTTTATATTTTTACTTTTATAATAATTTAAAAAAAAAAAATAAACAATTCACTCTGTTTCTAAGATAATTTTTATTGATCTAAAGAAATGTTTTGTTTTCAACCATAAAATAAATCAAATGCCTTTTTCCGGGCGGAAAAAAATATAATAGAAATTATATATAGTACAATTAAAAATAATTGTATTCATTTCCAAATTATCTACACCCTGTAGGTTCTATATTGCCAGTAATATACGGTAATAAAATTCAGCTTTTAGGTATGAAATACTGAATTTAATTTGAACATTTATAATATTAAATAGCATATTAAATTTTGTAAGCAATTTAATAAAATAAACTGAATTCCGAAATCTAAATGAATTATATCTCTATATTACTAAAAAAAGAACTATACCCTACATATGTAAATATTTATTATAATTTTTATATTGAATTAATTATTAATATTACTAAAAATATTATTAACTTCTTAATATTGTGTTAATGGCATTTTAATATTGCATATTATTAGACAATAATAATTCAGCAATATACACATTGAAGCTGAATTATATTGTACTATATCTATACTACTGTATTATATGTTATCTGTACTACTATTAAAAAATTGATATAGAACATAATGATGATATAAGGAGAAAATTTTTGTCGACACTTTTCAACTGAAATAGATTTTCGTGATTTTAAAATTGGCTTAAAACTATATTGCTACATTATTCAGTATAGTTACTATAAGTTGAGAATAATAACTCTGTTACGTCACTTTATTACAATACAAATTATAACAACAGGACGGCAGCCCTTATTTAAATATAACCGTCTAATGAAGTGTCATTAATTATTCTTTTAAATAAAAAAAAAAAGAAATCATTGTGAAAATTTTGTCACTTATTTCATGTTTTTTTTTTCTGTTCTTCTTTTTATCTTTTTCCTTTTTTCAACAGTTATTCTAATTTTTACATCCGATTTTTTGATTTTTTTTCCCCAAATTTTTGTTATATTTTTTTGTGTTGCTTTTTCTTTTTGTCCCTTCCTTATTGTAAGGATTTTATTGTTTGTATTATGTTCAGGATAAATTAGAATAGAAAATATGAAAAATTCTGGTATGGTCAGCATAAAACCAATCTCACAGACAAATCGCTGTATTGAATAAAATTTTAAAATCTTTAAACACTTCTTTTAAATTTTAATTAAGTAACCAATTAATTAATAGCCCTCAAAAACTTGCTTCTTACTTTCTTACTGTAGAGGTTCACTATTGTATGAAACAAATTTTCTATATTACATTTTAAATATTAAATTATAACAATTCCACTAATTACAGTTCCTATAAAATATTGCCAGAAAGTAGAAATTTGACTCGTATGAATAAAAGGTAAAAATACTATTGCATCTAATTTTATTGAAAAACTAAATTTTTTGTCAAAACTTAGACATAGAATGACCCCGATCAAATTAATCAAATTAATCACATCCTCAAAAATGAACTCAGATATGAATCGAGTTTGGAATTACAAGAGATAAACAAAAATCCAAACATACAAACTTACAAAACAACATCTTTTAAAAAAAATGTACTTGATGTATGTAAATTTCTTTTTATATATACGAGTATATAACATGAAGAAATGCATTTCTATTAGAATTCGACGTTTAAAATTTGGTGCCATCGTACAATACCACTCTTTTTTGTATGAAATGCTATCGGTGAAAATACGATGACCTTTTGAAAATGAACAATTTTTCAACAAAATATAAATTTTAATATATTTATATACATATATGTACATATGTAAATAGAATATGTAAATATGTATATGAGTACATAAAGTCAATCTAAATACTAACAATAAATTGATACTTATACTAAAAATACAAATAGTTCAGCTTTCCTAAGTGACAAGAAAAATTTGTCATACGGAAATTTTAAAATTTTTATTCTTCTTGTTGTCCATATTCAATAGCTGAATTCAAAGAACTGAATGGATTTCATTGTGATTATACAAGTAGGTATAATACCGTTGTAATACCGTCATAAATTTTTGAAAAAAAAGTTTGGAATAGGACATTGTTTTAGTTCAATATCTTCAAAACTCTTATGATCATTTGATTTTGTCAAATCTTCAGAAAGAACTTTTAAACTTATGAATCCAAGCTTATAAGACGAACAACAATTTATATTTAAATAGTATAAGAGTAATAATTTTTATTTTATGGAGAAATTGTGGTTAAAAAAATATATATTTTTTTTCTTCAATTCTTTAATTTAAACATTGACTATTGTGCATCAACCCCTCTATATTATAACACTGAAATATTTGTGTCTCATATAGATAGATGGATTTGTATAATATTATACACACATTAAGAACACTTTTTTTTCCGTTTGCTTTTATTTTTCACCACATTATTTAAGGGTGATGATTTCTTTTGATCTTTTTCTTTTTTTTGTTCCTTCTGTGCAAAGTAAGAAAAAAAAAAATAAATAAAAAATATATGTGTCCCATTCTCTCTTTTATTTACTCTCTATTATATTTATTTCCTTTTTTCACCATATTAAATGTACATAAAACGAAGTGAGAAAATATAGTAAAAGAGCAAAAAAGGCGTTAAAATAGAAAATCTCTTTCGTAGAGTATACAAAAAAAAAAAAAGAATAGAAAAATCAATAGCAGTGGTAATCATTTATTTCCGGTTGAATAAGTGTGGGAAGAAAATTTTATCAAACACTACTTATATATGAAAAAAAAAAAAAAAAAAAATCATTTAATTTTTATTTTTTATTGTATTTTTTTTTCCTTTTATGTCTTTTGTGTCCCCATTTTATCATTTTATCATTATGTCTTTAAAATTTCTTTAAGGAAAAATTTTTATCGTGCGAAATGATTTTTTAATATTTATTTTTGTGCAGATTTTTTTCCGGCTCGTTATTATGGTCTATATCATATTGCTGTCAAATTTATACACATTCATGAACCAGTTTTTTTCCCTTAAATTTTCATGGAGCGTCGAAAAGGTTAATGTCACTGATCTATATATTATAAAGTAACTTCTACACTTCTCTTTTTATTCAAATTCGATTGTCCTGTAATATAGGCAATTTTCGATTTTGAAAATGCGATAATTCATAAAATTTCATAATCTAAGCAAAAATTTTTAAATATTGCATATGTTTAGGGGCAACCAATATTAATCATATTGTATTTTCTCATAAAAAAAAAATTTAAAATACAATTAAATGTGATGTAAAATAAAATACAATTAATTGTTAGCATTATGAATGAATTTAACAATATATATTTATATTGCGTATATATGCTTATGTATATAAATGTGTAATAAACGCATTGAAATATTTATATATTATTTATTTTCAGGTCTCGTCGATTAATCGTGTTTTAAGAAATTTAGCTGCACAAAAAGAACAACAACAGCAACAACAACAATCTCATATGCAAAATAATTTAACTGGTAATAATGGATGTGGTAATGGTGGAACTGGTAGTAATGGCACCGGTAATTCTGGTAATAGTAATGATTTAAATGGTTCAACAATCAGTTCAACAAATTCATCAAATATTGTATCAATAAATACTTCTAATAATACTAATAATAACAATAATAATAATAATACAATACAAAATGAACAACAACAACAAGAACAACAATCAATATCAACATTATCAAATACAATTAATATTAATGGTAATTTCTATAAATTATAATTCAAAAATAAATTTTTACATCTACATATTTGTTATTAAAATTAAATTATTTAATAAAAAAAAATAAAATTTTTGTTAAATTATAAGCATCAGCATTATAATTTTTGTTAATATAATCATTAAAATGATAATTCATTCTTTATTAAATACACCGACAATAACAACTACAATATAATAATATTATATTAATTGATATTAGGATCAACATCAGTTTCATCAGCAGCGGCGGCAGCAGCAGCCGCAGCAGCAGCAGCTGCAGCTGCAGCAGCAACAAATCATTCAATACATCATTCAAATCATTTAACACATCATCATGTAACAACACATCATCCTACACATCATACAACACATCATCATTTAGCTGCAGCCGCAGCAGCTGCTGCTGCTGCTGCTGCCCACACACATCATCATTCACATCCATTTCAAAGTGTTGCTGCATCAGTTGTTGCCGCAAATGTACCAAATAGTTGCTGGTCAAGAGCAGCTGCAGCAGCAGCTGCAATAACACCATCAGTAGCTGCAACAGCGTCTTGGTATTCAGCGCCAATTAATAATAATAATGATAGCAACTCAAATGGTGGATGTGGTGGTGGTGGTGGTGGTATACAAACAACAACAAATATAGCGTCAACAAATGGCGGTGGTGATAATAGTATTGGTGGACATCATTCACCATTTCGATTACAATCATTAAATACATCAAATAATAGTGGTGGTGGCACTAGTAATGGTGGAAGTGGTGGTGGTGGAATTGGTATAATAGGTGGCAGTAGTATTGGTAGTACTGGTGGTAATAATTCATGCTTAGTTTTATCAGATGAAATTGGATCCAAAAAAGGTTAGTAGATTTTCTTTTTGATTTTCACAATTTTAAATAAATATTTCATATATTTTTCTAATTTTTAAATTATTAATAAAACAAAATGAATGTTAAGAAAATTATTTAAAAGGAAAACAAAAAATACACTCCTCGACAAAATTATAGGGATATTCATTGTTGTTTTTCTAAATATTTTGTGATTTTCGTTAGTTTCGAAAATATATTTATATTTATATACCTAAACGGAATACGGATAACGTATTGGATAATAGATCGTATTCCGAAAAGCCTGTTACAGGGGTTAAAGTTTAGTAGGCCGATTAAGAAATTTTTTATAAAAATTTAGGTAAACTTAATTTTTCAATAAAATAATAAAAAACATTAGCCTTGAACAAAATTAAATCAAAATGTAAAACAATAAAATTAATAATAAATTAAAACAATTTTCAAATGCTCACCTGTTGCCTATGTTTATTTGATGTTTCTATTTCTACCGGATACTATCTGTAATTTGATAATAGATTAATAAGTAATCTGTTAAATTAAGTTTTAATGAATGATAGTTATAAAATGATTGTAAAAAAAGGGTAATTCATAAATATAATAGTTTTTTTTCGTAAAGTATTTAGAACACTTATAATTTTGTTGTGTGAGTGTGAATCTATATCGAAATCTATGAAAAAAATTGAAAAAAAAAAAAAACATTTTTGTAACTTGTATGAAATAGAATGAATGACATGTATAAAATATTTCAACTTTTTCTTCTTAATTGGTAGAATTCATAAAGAAGTCATAGTAATTTATTATTAAATAATATAAAACAGCAAAATTAAAATTGAGAATTTTTTTTTTACGCACTCCTAATTCAATTCTCAATATTAAATGCAAAAAATCTGTAAATCGTTTTTTAGGTAACTTGATTAATTAATTGGGTTTTCAATCGCTTTGTCCTAAAGTTCAATGCAATCGTTTTGAAAATACGAGTAATATAAACTTTATTCATTACCTCGCCCGTCTCAAATTTAAAGTGTTCGTTTTAGTAAATAATAATATATGCAATTTGATTAAAAAGAAGAAGTAGGTAATATATACGTATATATATATATATATATGTATGTATATATGTAATATATATATTATATCTCTTACGGTTGACAAAGTAAAGAGACAAAAGTATTATAGGAATATTTTGTATAACAGTATAACAGTTTAAAAAAATTAGAAATCTATATTTTTAATTAAAATTCACCTTATATATATTATTGAATAATAATATAAAACAATTTATTATATTATGTATAACAATATTGAGTGATTGGACAATAGTATATAATATTTCATTATTAATATACTATAATAATCATTTTACAATAAAATATTAATCAATAATATTAAATTTTTTTTTATATAAAATGTACTTGTTTCTTTTTGTTTTTTTGTATTTTGTATACCATATATAGTTATCCTGTTTAGTTGCTGAGTAACAAATACAAACACGATATTTAGAAATTCAAAATAAAGATGATATCCTATAACTTTTGTTGTAGAGTGTAAAAAAGAATTTTAAAAATAAAATTTTTATTCAATATAATAAAATTTAAAAAATTTAAATTAAAATACGTAAATTATTATTAGAAAAAATAATTTTATTTATTTATGTACATATGTATATAACTAAAAATATTTTGTAATTAAAAACAAAATGAAATAGTGTTAAAACTTTATTATATACATTATATATATATTATAAATTTTTCATGTATAAGATTGTGTATGAAATAACATAAAAGTATAACAACAGGCAATTTTATATTTTTTTTTAAAAATCACTAAAAAATTTTTAATTGTCTCAATTCTTCTTTTGAAATTTCGTTACGTAACAATTTGTTTAACAATGTAACTAATAAAATATAATATATTGAAATCCGTGTACTAAAATCCAAAAGTGGTGCTTTATCAATTGTAATTAAATAAAGAAAAGAAAAAATCTAATACAAAAAATTCTACATTTGTATAACAGTTTAATATACAATGAGTTTTTAACAGAATTTAATAAAAACAAAAAGTTTATTCTTTCATATTTATACATAAAATAATATAGGAACAGCTCAGCAACGGATGTGATACAATTGTATAACAGTGTGGATAATATAAAAATTATATGTATGTGATAGAGTCAAAATGTGATTTTTGTTTTTTCGTAATCTTAAATATTAAAAATTAAGTGTCATACTATACTTATAAAATTGTATAACAGTTAAAATGTGAGTTAAGTAAGTTATAGAATAAAAATTTTTTAAATAACTAAAATATGTATTGACACCGTACATAAGTAATGTATAACACATATATAATTTAGTATTTAATATATTTTTAAGAGAAATTAAAAATGAAATGTGAAATTATTTTGTTTTGTACAATATAAATTTTGTATATGTTATACATGTCAATGTTATACAAATGCAGTTATATACATATTTTTTCTTAATATTTGTTATATATACATATGTACATATACTATAAGAATGAAATTTTTTTTTTTTTGAAATTGCTATTATTCATAAGTGATAAATAATTATTATATTGGAATCTCAGGAACAATAATTCTTCAATCAACATTTAAAATTTGTATTATAAAAATTATTTATTATAATACAAGCTTTATATAATATGCAATCAACAATCAACTATACTATTCATGAAATATCTTCAATCAACTCTTTATTTTCATCAATTAATTTATTGAAATTCAACTTTTTACAAAAAAATATCTAGAAAATAATGAATTTTATGAAATTTTAAATGCAATACAAATAATTTTAAAAGTTACAATTTTTTTTTTTTTGAATTATTAAATTTATAATAAGTTGTTTTTAATATAATAGTTAAAAATATCGTATTTAAATAAAAATAAAACAAAAAACCACAGCAACTAAAAGGATAACAATAAGTACATACATGAATAAATTTTTTACAAGAATATTAGTATAAATTGTTACATAATTTTCATAGTTTTACGATAAGAAAAGAATTTCAGGCTTAATTTATAATTGAGAACCTTTATTATAAGTACATTTCTCATATTAAATTTCAATAGGAAATTAAATTTATTATTTTTTTTTTTGTTAATCTGACAAATTAAATTCTCCTCGATAACTAATTGACTGAACGTATTTGTTAGATAAACTAACAGACACTGGCAGTTATCCAGACAGACTGAATGACTAATAACTTCCTTTTACATTCCTATATTAATAAGAAATTCATATTTTCTTTTCAAAAATTATGCATATATGAAATTTGGTGGTATTACAATACCTTCTTTATTGTATATATGCAATACGGTCAGATTATAATATAAGAAGAACGTATCTTCTCTAAATATAAAACTTAAGATTTTCCTGATTTTCATACATTATTTTTTGTTTGCTTCTTAAATTTTTCATAAAAAGTGTGTCCTTTGAAAATTTTTGTATATACAATTTTTTTTTTATTTTTATTACATTTTTTATTGTTATTATTTGGTTTCTTTTATTGAAAGTTGTTTTATACGTGCTTAGGTTTTATAATCAGAAAAAAATAAAAAAAAAATTAATTCTATTGTTATTGAAATTATAAAATGTATTCAAACATACAAATATAACAGTTTCTGTAATACATATATTGAATATAATACTTGTGAATTTGCGTCTCTTTGCGTGTGTATTATTTAGGCGCATTTTATACTCGACAGAGAGAGAGAGAAAGAGAGAGAGAGAATTAGATAATAATTTATGGTAGGGGGAGTTTGTAGTAATGTTTTTTATTTTTTGCTTTCTTATTTTTTCAATATTTTCATGTTTCAATTATTAATTTTTTATTGTATAACAATTTAGTTTTACTCACTTTTCTTTTAAAAGAGTTTTAATTCATAGTTTCATTAATACTAAGACAGGATGCTATTATTAGATAAAATATAATCTACATAAATGTGACTTGTTACTTGCTTTACATCATTAATGTCTAGTTAAAAATCTAGTAGGGAAGAATTTCTTCTTTCACCTACACAATATATAAAATTTAAGAACAAGTTCTTTGAATATATGTACATATAAGGTATCGGCACTGTTATCTTATTGCTATATACAATCTATGGCCAAATTTTCTCCAATTTCACATTGTGACTTGCCACTGAAATAGCAACGTAACAACTGTTTTATAATTTCAATTGATATTGGAGGCACTGTATAAGTACAATTATGACTTCTATTTTTAATTTTTAGATTTTGAAGTTCATTTTTTTAAACAAGTTTAATGTGATTGGAAAGACAAATTATTTACTTTAATTGTAAAAAATTAAACTAAACCATTTTAATTTCTTTAACTTGTACCAAATTAGCAGTCAAACTGATAAAATAATGGCAACATATGCATTAAATTCGAAATAATCACACATAATATTTCAAATTCGTAATTCACAATATTATTTGAAATATTCACAATATTTAAAAAGCAAAAAATCAGAGTTTATAGGCTTATATCGCTTTATTGTTATACCATATATTGATTCTTTTATACGAAAAACTAACCCATACACACTCAGATATATAGACATTACGAATACCGTATATATAAAAATAATAATGAATTCGTAAAAATAAATTAGAAAAATCACAAATTGTATACAATAAAAAAAATGAATTACGGAAAAACTTTATAATGAAAAATCAGGGAAGAAAAAAATATAACAAAAAAACAAAAAAACAGAAAGAAAAAACAAAAAGTGCACAAAAGATTAATCCCTATAATGAAGTGTCAACGAAAAGATTAAAAAGGATTTTTTTGTTTTTTCTTTTTTTTTTATCGCACTGTCATTTTAATGTAAATGTACCGACGATATTGTACATGTACGTACAGTATGTGTCTTCGCATTCTAATTGTTCATTCATTCGTTCATTTATTCGATCGTTCATTTGTTTCTGGCGTTCGTTTTTTTTTCTCTTTTTTTTTTTTTGTTTATGTTATTAATTTTTTTTTGT